CGGAAGCTACGAAATGCCGCTTCACTGATCGGTCCGTGAATTGCTCAGAGCCTGTCTGTGAACTTCTGAACACCGAGGATCCATGGACCACTCAAAAGCGCAAGGGCCCACGTAATCGAGTTCAGACGTCACCTGCTGATAAACAACTACCCAATCTGTTAAGCGCCTCTAGTTCTGCTCCCACAGGTTCATCACAGATTTCGCTGAGGCGTCATAATCTCATGGTCCTCCAGGTACCGGAGTCAAAAGATGAAAACCCTCAGATACGTTATGATCACGATGTTGAGTTCCTCCAGGGGCTCATCGATAGACTCTTGGATGTGGGCGAGGACAGTGTGAAGATTAAACAAGTAATCCGACTTGGCCAGAAAACTAACCAGTCATGTCGACCTCTGAGGATCACCTTTGCAAATCCTAATATGCCGCAGCTCATACTGTCTCATCTCTCAAGGCTGAAAGGCATAAAAGTTCACATACGCCGAGATTTGGAACCCGAGGACAGGGATCGTTTGAAGACTGCGGTCATTGAGCTCAAACGCCGTACAGAGGAAGGTGAGACTGACTTACAAGTTGTAAATTTTCGGGTGATCAAGAAGGGTGTACGAACCCGTATCAACCGGTTGCTCAACCTCCAGGCACGTCCCGCAGTACCTCCCAGGACCTCCGTGTCGCATTCGCCAACGTGTGCAGCCTAATGAACAAACGTGACGAACTGTGCCGCTTCGCTGTCTCGGAGCGGCCGGACATTTTAGGACTTGCAGAGACATGGCTGAACTCCGACATCATACCCCAAGAAGTCGTGTTGTCAGGATACTCTTGTTTCCAATGTGACCGAAAATCAAAGGCTCACGGTGGTGTCTTGTTGTACATAAAATGGTCACTATCTGGCAAACTTATCAGTACCTATCGGAGCGAGGATAGTTTATGCGAGCAATTGTGGTGCACAATCCGTCTCAGGCGCGCAGAACTAATTGTGGGGGTTATCTACCGGAGCCCATTAAACCGTTGCTGCGATTGGATACCACATGTACGTAAGCACATGAGCCGCTCTCAGTTCTTACTGATGGGGGATCTAAATTTACCTAAGATAATTTGGCCAAATGTTCGACTTCTTCCCGGTCATGGCAACGTTGAGGCTCAATTCGCTATAATGACTATTGAAATCGGGGCAACGCAACATGTCATCCAACCGACGCGCGTAACTCCGTACTCGGCATCTTGTTTGGACCTAATGTTTACGAGCTGCGAGCAGAAGCTAAAAGAGATCAGAGTCATCGAACCTCTGGCGAACAGTGACCACTGCTCTATTGTAGCAAGCTTAGAACTGTCGTTACCATATTACAATCAACAGAAGCCGACGTTCAACTATTGGAAGACGGACTTCAACGGACTCGTCCAAGCCGCAAGTCAGACTGATTGGACACTACCACATGATGCGTCACTTGAGGCCTGGTGGTCATTAATAAAGGGGAAGCTTAACTCGCTCTGTACTCGTTTCGTTCCCCTTAAGTATCCAAAAATCGGACCTGTCAAACCGCATTGGTTTGATAGGGAATACAGACAGTTAGCGCGACGACGTCGTAAACTTTGGGATAGATACATCAGCTCGGGTTGTGATGAAGATTACGCGGTGTACAAGAAACAGCGTAACTTATGTAATGCCGCAAAGATCAAGAAACGCCGGCAGTTCGAAGAGGAGCTAGCATCCTCGGCCACGACTGCACCCAAGCGAATATTTGCCTACTTAAAACGTCAACTGAAATCTGGAGACGACCTACCGGTCTTAGAGAGCTTAGACGGGAAGACACTCATTTCAAGCGCGGACGCCCTGGCTACGCACTTCCTCACTGTATTTTCCAGTAAACCGGCGGCTGTTCCAGTACCGGCACAGGTTGCGCAAGTCTTGCTCGACAGCCTACAATGTGATGCAGTCGAAGTACATCAGCTACTCGTCAACCTCAATGGTGCAAAGCCCCCCGGGCCAGACGGACTTCACCCACTAATACTCAAGTCCCTATCGATTATCATCTCACCAGTTGTGACAAACCTTTTCAATAGATCGCCCTCTGAAGGGTCCGTCCCGAACGACTAGAAATGCTCGATAGTTAAACCGCTTCCCAAGGGTGGTGATCCGAGTGAAATAGAGAACTATAGACCGATCTGTTTGACTTCGGTATTATCCAAAGTTCTCGAGAAGGTTGTGAAAAAGTGTCTGCTGTCGTTCTTCGAATCGATGGAGTTATTGACGCCAGCGCAACACGGCTTTACGAAAGGGCGATCCTGCATCACCAACTTGATGTACGCAAACCACCAGTGGGTTCGAGCTCTCAATGAACAGAAAGATGTTGAGGTGGTGTACATCGACTTTAGTAAGGCGTTTGACAGAGTGAACCACGAGGTACTCCTTCGTAAACTGAGGACATACGGAATCGGTGGCACGTTACTTCAGTGGTTACACGAGTTTATTGTGGGACGAAGATTTAGAGTACAGGTCAATGACTATCTGACAGAATGGTTCCCATCGACCAGTGGCGTGCCTCAAGGAACTGTACTTGGGCCAGCATTATTTCTTATTCATATCAACGATCTTCCACAGCAGCTCCAGTCACCATGTGTCCTGTTTGCAGATGATTTGAAAATCTGGAGGATCATTGAAAACCAGGACGACTGCGCTCGCCTCCAGCATGACTTAGAGCGACTGTCAACGTGGTCCACTGAAATGCAACTCCCTCTTAACGCAAGCAAGTCGAAGTTCATCACCAGACGTCCAGCCACTCGATCATACACCTTGGACGGCCAGTTGCTTCATCCCAACACATCTGTCAGAGACTTAGGAGTTCTCACACGACATGATTTAAGATCACTAGAAAATACAGAGAAACTGTACCGTGCGGGACTTTGTATGCTCTGGGCATTACGACGCAGTTTCTCCACATGGTCCGAAGAAACCGTCCCTCGTCTATTCACCTCGCCCATTAGACCAATCCTTGAATACGGTGCCCCAGCTTACCATCCGATAACCCAATGGGAAACTGAAAAACTGGAGAAAATACAGCATATCGCAACTAGAATGATACCAAGTCTACGAAAGCTTCCATATGAAAAACGTTGTGAAAAGTTCGGACTCTACACACTATCCTATCGCCGAGTAAGAATTGATCTTATTATGACGCATCGAGTACTACACTTGAATCCCTTCCCCATACTGCGGCCAATATTTCACCTGCGAGAACCCTGTAACACCCGAGGACATCGTAACAAACTCAGGGTCCCCAGCATGAACAAAGTATCACATCAGCTTTGTATCGAACGAAGAATCGTAAACTTATGGAATACACTACCAGAAGGATTAATAGAGGCCGATTCTGTGAAGTGTTTTAAAACCCGTATAGACGATTATTTTGGAAACCTGTGCTTTTGTGAAACGATGCACATACAGTGCCAAAAGAAGACATTGTATGTCCGGAAATAATGACGCTAGTACAAATTTCTAACCGAACACGGATAAACGATTAACGGACCAGACACAACTGCTGATAATTCACAAGTTAATTTTGATTTTTCGTAATTCGATAGAGTTGTACAGAAACCTTTCTACTTGCTCTTAAATACAGTCTCAGTCTATATATATATATATATATATATATATATATATATATATATGTGTGTGTGTGTGTGTGTGTGTGTGTAAATGTTTGACAGAGTGCCACAACACATGAGTAACAACAACAAAAGGAAGAAGAGTGTGTCAGGGGAAGGGATGCGAAGATCCATGTGTTGTGTGGGCAGAGAGCTTCCGGGTTGCCCAGGCCGAGGAAGGTGTGGCCTTAAAAGGGACTGTTGCGGATAGGCGTGCAGCTAGTGATATGAGAAGTTAGCTGAAGATGGTAGAATTGTAGTGCAATTGCGGCGGCTGTCAGGTAACTTGGGAAGCATAGAGGGAAAGTCAGTAATGGGGATCGAGATGTGAGTAAGAGAAACAGGTGAAAAGAAAAATGAGAGGCGTCATCAATATCATGTTTTTGCTTATCCGCCTTATTGTATACAGCAGCTAAGGCTAGCCTTGATAATGTGCGCGACGACCGATGCAGGATGCGATTGAAGTTCCAATAAATAGTCATGATTATATGTGGGCTAAGATACATCTAGGGCGCCCAGACCTAGACAGGAGGACGATTAGAGTCCTCACCAAAAGCCTTTGGCTCAAAAGCCTGTCCGCAAGGTAGCGGGGAGGTGGTAATGATTTAGTCTTACAGAAATGGACGCCATCCCATTACAAAACCCCAGCCTGGAGGACCAGGAGACTGAGTTTGTCTGACCTCTCACCATTGACCAATCTGGTAGCAGTATCACTCAAGGTGCCCGGAGGCACCACCCAGTATAGCTCAATGGGTCAAGGTAATAATGTAATGTAATGTGTTAGCTGTACGCCGTAACGGCGCTTCGCTGCCGCGCGACCACCACCAGTCGCGCGCGGGCTGAGTATCCCGCGAGGACGTCCACCCCTAGGCGGATTCGAACCGGTGACCTTATGGTTGCAAACCAAAAGCGCAGAACACTCGGCAACCAGCCGACCAATGGGTCATGGAGGTAGGAAAATCGTCGCACCGCGTTAAGGTCGTCTGGTTGCGAGATATGAGCTTGTGTTCGTTGGGTAAATAATGGGGTAGCGCAATGTAAGATACCTTTCTATATATGCAAGCGTCTTCGAGCGGTTCGTAATCACAGTGACAACCAAATCCGAACAAGGATATAGATGCAGTAAAACCTCCCTAATTTAACAACTCAAAGAACCGGACAAAAGTGGGCAAAATAGAGAGGTGGTCAACATATAAAGGTCACACACACAACTTAGCGACCTTACTTTCCTGTTGTGAGTAATACAGTGTATACATTGTTTTTACGTACATCCTGTTTTGAATACATTGGATGAGCTTTCACATAATGGCAAACAGAGTTAAGCCATACAGTATGATAAATCAAAACCCAGGATAATTCTCTCAATATAAAACCCGTTGTTTAGAAAAATCACTCGTCCGCGTTTTCGTATCATAAAGGTAACTGAACACATTGGTTTAGGACTCGTTAGTCGGCAACTAGACAGGCACTCAAACTCCTTATAGCGACTTGTGCAATTGAGTTGGCACATGTTACAAAGTATAGGCGTGATGCGGGCCTGCGTGAGGAAAGGGTTAACATAAAAATGGTGAGGGTCAATCTAGGGATGCGGATATGTGGGAACATATTGTACGAGGTAAACACCCATGCGCGTAAACACTCCGGGGCGGAAGCAAATGAACAAGTACATACACAAACTGGGAACAGGCTGCATCGTCAACGAAGTCGTAAAATGCAGCGGTTGTAAGTCAGGGGAATTCCACACATAGCAAGTGTTCAAAGCGAACATGTGTAAATTTCTGTAGGGAGATAAATGAAGGGTCTGGAAATACAAACATTATGTCCGCAAATAGGTAATCCAGTTTGGTTGAAAAAGTAAAGTTCTCTTTGGACTCTAAAGGGTTCAAGATATGAAAAACAATCAACTTAGAGGTGGTCAACTGTGGAGGTGTTAAGATAGTTGATTCCTCGTAAGTTGCTGCGCAGGTAAACGTCCATTTCGCAGCCCGGAATGACCTTGGCCCCACTAAAGCGTAATTTTCCGGCAATACGGAATGAAGGCTGATCCTGCTCCTACTAGCTCAGCCTACTCATTGAAGACGATTGTGAGCCGCCTTGGCACCGGCAGCTCAGAGGAATAGGCCACTTCGTGGGCTACTAAAGCTCAAGTAGGGATTACCAACCACTGGTGATAGCACAGTTTCTCTCCAAAAGGCCGAGCTTGTAATGCCACGGTACGTGTGCAAAAGATAACCAAAGACAGTCTGCTTTTGTAGATCGCTGCCTTCGGACCATGTCTGGTGCATGATGGGAACATCACATTAGGAGTGACGAGGTCTGTCGATGGGCCAGAACATTCGAAGCACAGTAGATGCGGGAACGGATTGTGCACGCGCGCATGATGGTGTGTCGCTGCAAAGCAGTGTGGAAACGGAAAATGTTAAACAAGGACAACCCGAAAGAGTTGTACTGAGATATAATGTATCACTTGTACCGTGGAAATTCGAAAATGATCGTATAAACCGGATAATCAATCCTAAAGTGACTGTTCCATCCTGGATGGAGTCCCTGAGAGCGACCGCATAAGTGGCTGGATACCCTATCGAACTTGGAGTGAGCACAAAGTCAATAGTATTTTGCATTTGTCCTCATTTCTGATTCTTAGCAATTCAGAGGATAATGTAACTTCCTGTCCATTCATCTTAAACTATAGTGTCATATTTGTGACTTGTGTCAAAGCGCCTGGGTCCAATACAGAGGTGTATCCTCCTCGATTCAGCACGGAATCAGTTTAGCAGAGAACCATGGCAGCAGGCTGTTTTGGAATGAACACACGTTAGGAAAAAAGCTGTCACCATCATTTTGAAAAAATTGTGAAGACAAGTTTTTGACATTTCAAACAGCATTTTCACCACACAGGTCCGAGCTATGGGGTTGGGTTTTAGAACACGAGATGGCCAGAAGCACCCCAATGAATTGTTGAAAAAAGTAAACTGAACATTCGTTCGGTTACATTCGCCCAAAATTTGGGGACGCAGCGAAATAAATGAAACAGAATAGCAATATAATCTTCCTACACGATCATGTGCGTTTGCAACAAACGGAGAGCAGAGCCGGTCTCCTGAACCCTCATCGTATGAGATCGCTAAAGATAGGTTGAAAAGCTGCCATCCCTAATGGCGCAATGGTTTTACTAACTAGTGAGCAAGTGAAGCATTGTGAAATCCAACCTCACAAGTGACATAAAATGCACACTGCTGACAAATTCGGAAACGACGAAACGGCCGTCCGGTGCTTTTTTGGATGTGCTTGTCTGTGAGAAATATACTTTACAACAAATAAAAGCGGCAAAAATGCAGACAAAGAGCTTCTATAATCAATCGAAAGAAAACGGGTAGCCGATTCAGTGGCGCGTTAGTAGAAGCTATCTCAAGTTGGAGAGCTGTCATTTGTAAATGTGAGTAGTTTGGGGTAATGAGCAAATTCAGGCCGATACACAATCGCTCGGAGACAAGTGACTTGATCGAAGAGAGCACTGATGAAAACAATGAAAAGGTGAGTTGGGGAGGAGTTTGTACAGTCGTGACAGAATGAGGCGAAAAGAAGGGGGAAAGTTATCATCACTAGGGTAATAACTTCAAGAAGAATGGGGGACAGAGCTCCGTCACTTCTCACATACTGGGCAGAGGGGCTGGTACGCGAGTTTTCAGGTGGCACACTTTTTCGTCGCTGTAGACCTCTGGTGCGCAGTCAGATAGATAGCGGAGCAAGGCAGATAATGGAGCACTGGTGGACCCAGGAAATTGACTAGTAGGAGGTTGAACCGGGGAACCAATGGGCCAGGCTACTGTTTGACCGTTGACTCGTGGTTGTACACGGAATCCACCATAAGGATCAGAAGAATCAGCTATCGGAGAGGAAAGCAGAGACAAGATGCACATTTCACTTGTATCAGTGTGAAACAAAGAGCAATGCATGACACAAAGGTTCGAGTTCATTAATTTGCCTCCAAACCACACAATTAAAGGTATGGGGAAAATAGGTAGGTGACACATTAAGATAAAAAGAATTATCACACTAAAGCTGCGAAGTCACAAGCGTCAGGGTTTCATACAATAGTTGTTGCTAGTGACAAACTAATATAAGCAAGTCAAAGAGAAAAAAAGTGAACAGGTTCGACGCGGAAATCATCCAGAGATGAACTGAAGATGTTCCACAGGCATGTGGGGAAGCATTTGAAAACGAACTAGATAGCTCGCAAAACAACCTAACAGATTGCGTTGAGTGCACATTTCAGTGGAGGACCGAAACCATTCCTCAAGTGTTCGACTGAAACCAATACCAAACCAAGTGTTGCTAGATAGAGGTAAATATGCATGGGATTCCGGTGTCATTCAAAACGCTCGAAAACCAGCCCTTGCCAAAGATTCTACAAATGGCGGAGAACACATGACAAACAAGCTACGCGAGGTCTCATGTGACCAAGTCACGCGGAATTGCGAACTGGCCTCGTATTAGGCACACTCTCGACGAAGTACCAGCCGTAACACTAAGGTAGTACCAGTAGGAATGGAGTTACTAGTTATCAAATGGGTAAAATACCGCAATCGTATAAACCTGGTGATAGTAGTCCATCGAGGGATCCTCGACCGTGTCACGTACGCCCTTGAGTATCGATTCGTAAACACAAGCTTGCACATGATTGGCTGAGAATGACCTTGCCTAATTTCCTTATTTCATTGGTTTTCCTTTCTGCCTTTTCTAGATACTGCAATGCAGGATCCTTTTAGTAAAGCGGTTCCATACTACGCGTGCACGTTCTGTTCCGTTCATCGGCTAAGGGCCATACTTAACATTCTGGCGACGAGGTTAAACTGCTGCGATGTTGAACCTTCCTACACTACTTTGGCATATTCCTTATGATAAACCAACACCGGCCACCTGGAACCGCCGGAAGCGCACCTTTTTGGATTATTTGGAGGTACTACCCGTCTTGCAACCAAACACGGTACTCTCAGAGAGCCACAAAAGTAAATTACTGGGACGATTTCTGGGGGATGAAGGCCAAAGACATTTTGATGCCCTTCATGTCGATGAGAAGGAGCCACTCAACAGCGCGCCAGAAGTCCTCAGTGGGTTAAGGGGTTCACGAGTGCGGGATTCTTTCTCGACCTTGCTTCAAAACACCGAGGAAAGTGTCATTGATTTCATTGCGCGGATTCAGCAAGCCCTTCCAGGGTGTCGATATAGTGAAATCCCATTTACAAAGTTCGAAGATGCGATGGATTTACAATGCTTGATTTCCGGTACCCTTAAGGAACAGGCTCGTGAAAGGTTGTTGTCAGAAGATGAGACGATGATGAGCCGGGAGAAGGCCTGCAATATTGTTCGACAGCTGGAAAATGTCCACAAACAGTTAGCAGATTTATCCTCGCAACCTCTTACAGACACAATCCAAGCAGTCAACCGAAAAGATGTTACCCCGAGATGGTCCGAATTGCCTTTTACTTGTTACCGATGTGGAAGTCAGCATTTATCAGCCGAGGAATGTCTTCATGAACAGAGTATCTGCCGCCAATGTGGAAAATAAGGGCACTTGGCCCGAGTTTGCCGATCTAAAGCTTGCACAGCCGCGACATCCCGTTTTCCCAAGAAGCCCGTGAAGGTCGTCCAGTCTTCAGACGAAGAAGACCAGCTAAACACGATCTGGAACGTAACATCGAGCTTCTGCAGCATTCACCCACCCTACACTGTGCACTTAGAATTAGAAGGCCAGTTGGTTAAAATGGAAGTTGATACCGGTGCCTTAGTTACCATAATCAGTGCTGCATCAGTTAAAAAAATACCCAAGTTATCCCCCTGTGAATCAACTTTGCGTACGTACACTGGGCAGCCGATACCAGTACTGGGAAAATGCGCTGTTCATGTAAATTGCCACAGGGAGAAGCGGACCTTACAGCAATATGTTGTGGCGAAAGATTGTCCGAACTCATGCAGGCGCGACTGGATTAAATGCCTTCCGGCGACGCTAGAGACAGTGAAGTTCACGTCCATTAACCAGCGCTTGGAGGAAGTGCTTAACAAATATTCTAACACTTTTGATGAGAAACTAGGAAAATTGCACGGATATCAGGCTAGTATCAAATTACTGCCGGGAACTCAGCCCCACTTTGTCAGGGCACGTGCCCTACCTCATTCCCTGAGATCAAAGGTGGAAGACGAGATAAAAAGATTGCAATCAGCGGGAACAATAGAGCCGGTCCAATACAGTGAGTGGGGAGCTCCAATAGTTCCAGTCCTGAATGCCGGATGGTTCTGTGCGTATTTGTGGTGACTATAAACTAACTGTTAATCGTTGGTTACTTCTAAATAAGTATCCCTTACCTCGGATAGAGGACCTGTGTGCTACGCTGGTAGGCGGACAAAAGTTTACAGAGATCGACCTCAGTCACGTGTACTTACAAATTGTGTAAGACGAGGTCTCTCGCTCATGCACTGCGATAGGTACACAAGGAGGTCTATTCCAGTAAAATAGTCTGCTCTTCAGAATCAGTTCGGCCACAGCGATATTTCAAAAGAGCACTGATATCCTGAACAAAGATATTCCTTTCACTTGCGCCTAACTTGACGACATTATAATTACAAGATGTACAGATGCTAAACATTTAAGGATGCTATCCACTGTGCTCGAACGTCTACAACTGAGTGGACTCAAACTGAAGAAGTCCAAAAGTACGTTTTTCTCAGATTCCATTCGTTACCTTGGTTACCGTCTCGATAAAAACGGATTACAAGTGTTAGAAGACAAAGTAAAGCCCATCCTTGTCGCACCTGAACCCAAGAATGAAGCTGAACTCCGATCGCTTTTAGGGATGTTTTCTCACTATCGTCGCTTCTTACCTAACGCCCCAACAGTATTTGCACCCTTGTACGAACTGTTGCACAAGGAGAAGTCCTGGACTTGGGGTCCGGATCGAAGAAAAGCTGTCACAGATGCAAAATGGGAGGCAGGCGCCTTCCCGTATCTTGTGCATTTCCATCCGAGCCGGCCTCTAGTGCTGCAGTGTGACGCTTCCCCACGCGGAGTAAACGCAGTTCTTTGACACCGGACGGTTCTCTTCGTCAAATCGCTTTTGCTTCTCGTACCATGCAACCCGCTGAAAGGAATTACTCCCAACTTGACAGAGAAACCTTAGCGATTATTTTCGGAATCAAGCATTCATACCAGTACGTCTGCGGAAGAGAGTTTGATTTCCACACCGACCATAAACCACTTCTTTCGCTTCTGGGTGAGAAGAAAGGAATCCAACAGATGTCTTTGCCCCGAATGTAATGGTGAGCACTACTGTTCAGCGCCTATAACTACAAACTTCAGTATGTAAACGAACCAAGTAATACCATTGCCGATGCATTTAGTCGCCTCCCGCACAAAAACGAATAGTGAACCAATGGAGTTTATCAATTTGATGAAACACCTTGAAAAGACACCCATCCGGAGTGATTTGGTGCGGCGCATGAGGGACCGGGACCCTGTGTTGTCGATGGTGACACGGTTCCTGATGACCGGATGGCCTACAAGCACGTCAGACGAACTGAAACCATTCGCTTGTCGGAGTAATGAGTTGTGTCTATACAACGGCTGTATATTTCGTGGTTCGCGCATAGTTCCACCAGAAGAACTAGGGCCCCAGTTGCTGAGAGAGCTGCATGACGTACACCTCGGCGTGAATAGGATGAAGGCGCTGGCACGTGGTTACTGTTGGTGGCCGAACATTGACCAGGATATAGAGCGGCTACTGAAACACTGCGAACAATGTCAGAAATACCAAAGACAAAAATCTCCCTGACCAACACGTCCATGGCGTTGACCGGAAAGGCCCTGGCAGCGCGTACACGCGGACTACTTTGGCCCAATCAATGAGTTTATGTATCTACCTCTGATTGATACCCATTCTAAAGGGATAGAAGTACATCCAGTTCCACAAGCGACTTCCGCAGCAACAGTTGCAAAAATGCGCTCAATATTTGCCGTTTCCGGTATCCAGAGACGGTATGCACCGACAACGGAACCCCAGTTACCAGTGAAGAGTTTCAACAGTTCCCGTGTAACAACGGAATACAACATATTAAGTCTGCGCCGTACCATCCCGCGTCGAATAGAATACCAGAACGTGCAGTCCAGACTGTTAAGCAAGGTCTCCTCATGGAACTCTACAAACTAAGTTAGATCGTCTCCTGTTCTCTTACCGCATGACACCGACTGAGTCGACAGGGAAGTCACTCGCGGAATTAATGTTTGGTTGGCCACTTCGAACGAGTCTGTGCCTACTTGTTCCGAACCCTCGAAGGAGAATGAAGGAAAAGCAGGAGAAAATGTGTGTGGATGAGATGCCAGAGGAAATGTCTTAATGATTTTGATCTAGTATACACAAGATTGCCTCACGAAACAAGCTGGCAACCTGTTATACTCATGTCCTCAACGAGTAAGCAAGCGAAGCTGGAGGACGGCCGTGTGGTGGTCGGCATTTTGACCATATCCGGCCACGATTAAACGGATCCCACGAGCGGGATCAAAAAGCGACTGCTACTGACCCAATAACGGACGGAGAATCTGCTTCACAAAACCAGGAACCACAAACGGATGCAGTACAACCAGAATTAAGACGCTCAAAACGCACGCCTAAGCCAATTAATCGGCATCAACCCGGAGTCTGTAGTCTTGCCCAGGAAGTGTCAAGTACACACTTGAGTACCGATTTGTAAACACAGGCCCTCACATGTATTGCATTTATTGTATTTAAGACTTGCGCAATAAATATTTGGAAGTGCCAGAAAACATGCGTAGCAATAACAAAAAAGAGAGTGAGTAGGAGGAATGGAAGCAAAGTTCCATGTGTTGTGTAGTCATTGACCTTCGTGGTCGCCCAGGCCGAGGAAGAGGGTTGACTTAAGGGACCCCACCCCGAGTCTTTGGTCTAAAGACCTGACCTGCAAGGCAGCGGGGTGATTCACGAAGACCGTTGATAGCCAAGTGGCTCATTCGCCTTCTTTGTGTTCGGAAGCAGTCCACAGAGAAGCTGGTGGCTAGCGAGGTTGTTCATCCGCCCTCCGTTAGATACATACCCCCAGTTACAGGAGTGAGTGGTCAGTGACCCTATAGCCGGTCACATTGGCTTTGACACAGCGCCGTGCGAGCACTTGTGGTATTTAATGGAGAACCAGATGAACAGCCCAGAACTCCCCACGCTCTGAAACACTGCAGCTGATTGTCCGCGACTGCTTATTCATCTCGCCTGCAAAGTAAACGAGACTTATTCGCAGTTACCTCCACAGGGGAGACATTCCCCGATCCGCAACCTGGGGACGCGCCCGATAGCGTACAGCTCCGCCACGGGCCTCACATGATTGGTTGAGAATGACCTTGCCTAACTTCCCTTGTTGCATTGGTTTTCCTTTCCGACTTTTCTAGCCACTGTAACGCAGGATGCCTTTAGTAAATCGGTTCCATACTACGCGTGCGCGTTCTGTTCCGTACATAGGCTAATGGCCATACTTAACAAACCGAAAGGTTCCTTAACGAAATGGGATAAGTGTTCCCTGCAATCGATATGGTTCATCAATCTAGCGGATAGGCTAATCTAAATTGGTGAGTCAAAAAGTGTTCGGATTGAATCGTCAGACCAGCTCACCTGAATCTGGGCAGTGATAAAGATATAAGGCCACATTGCCAGCGAATGGAGCAATGTGGCCACTACGAAACATGGTTGGTGGCTGCGGTTTCGAATGTAATTTTTTCCGCCAGATTTCGAAACCATCTGCGTGCAGCTTCTGCAGAGTAGTCGCTCCAATAGAGTCATTGAATAAACCCAATGCGGAAACCACGGGCATGACGGTTTCGGCATGTCCGAACCAAAAGGTGCCGCGATGCAAATTCACATCTTGCCTGAAAAGCAATTGTGGAGTGCGGTTAGTGTTGTGAAAATGCAAGCTGAGTGATCAGATAGCTCTATATGAGGTAATCAAGAGATATCGATGGCATAGCGTTGGTGGCAATTGTCACTTAAACTGGTTATCACCCATCGGTAGTGCGGTTGGACAATAAATGTGTGAGGTCATGAAATGAGAAAGTGTGCGTCAAAAAGGAGGATCACACAAATGGCAACAGTAGCAAGTCATTCTAGCAGATTAAAAGTGAATTAGTGATGACAAGCAACCGATATGGAGAGCGGTGAGAATTGATTAACAGGCACACGCTAAAGGGAGAGATGCCCAGTCACACTGCACAGTAACTCCGGTCACAGCTTGGAAGCTGCCAAGGTTATAAGAAACTGATTTTAATTATCCGGCATACCTCTACTCTTCAAAGTAGGGTTGTAATGGTTATTTAGTGAGGAAGACGAGGGAAGATAGTTAGAAAAAGGCAACCCGCCGGTCCGATACATGTTCTGTGATGTCACGGTAAAGACATGTACAACAGCTGTCTCATGAAGTTGCTGAGAACACTAGTACCTAGGGGTGTGGATTTGACTAACAGCCCTTAGAGTCGCGTGATTTTATTGAAAGTGTTTCACTGCCAAACTAAGCAAAATCAACAGTGTAACTTCCGGGGAAGTGCCCAAACTTCCATGGAAGCTGCATTGTTAATGTCGCTTAGGCTGGTAATGAAATATTTGCAACAAAGTGCCCAAAGCTGTTTTATACAGTTATAGGCAGTGACACGCAGATACCGATACTTAGGAGAGAAACGTATCGAGAAGTTCGATGATTTGCACTAATGGCTTAGAAGAGAACTGATATGGCTATTGGTCTGTTGACAGGTGTGCTGTCGACCATGTCATGTGTTTTCCAGCTGCTATTCTCACTATTTTCTCCGGTGGAGAAATCGAAAAGCTAAAGCGACTGCCGGCATCTCTCTCCTTCGTCACGGAAAACAATAAGTGTCGCCGGTCGCTCACCACGTACTCCTATGTGTATCGCCAGCGGTATTTTTGTTTGCATCCTCAAGTGTCTTCGGTGGACCAGTAGCAAATCCTATAGCGTTGAAGGCATGACCAGCTTGTTTACGCGGAAGCTGACCTAGTTCTCGATGATCCAATCAGAATGTCGATATCTAATGGAGAAAGAAGTTTGAACACAGAGTAGTCCAAAGTAATCGCTTAGTGGTATGGGAACTGAAAAAATGCGTTGTATTTGTAACCCAGGATTAACTTACTTAAGCCAAGATAATGAAAGCTGTTATGTCACGGGGATAGGAAGTGATCAGAAGTATGAATAAATTATAATAAACCATGTAAAATAAGCTCACTGCACTAAACTGACCATCCTGAGTCTCACCCCGAGAAGAATAAAATGAATCGGAACGGGTGTCAGTAGAAAACAACGAGGAGCTTTGGTACGCGTGCGTGCTGCACTGATGTCACCGATGGTATACGGAGTTAATCAAGGCATTTGTAGAACCTAATACTTATGAATATTGTCCAACTGAGGCAATCAGTGAACACTCAATATGGTCTGATAGTTCGAATAAACGATTAGGACGCAACAAAATAGGGCACAAAGAGTGACATGAACTCACTGATCAAAGCGGTGTGATTTGAATTGCTCGGCAGCCTCTTTAACTTGGGAGACCATTTCGTTCACAAGTGGACAGGATTGGACATAATTCAAATCATACCCGTAAGACTTGCGCCAAAACTGCTGTAAAGCAGATAGGTGAAAACCCGTAAGGATGGATATCGTCGAATAAGGTAGAGATTGTTAAGTGAGGTGCTTTAAAGAGCGGTAAGATACGCCAAGAATCAATGCTTAAAAGCAATCAGTTGAAGGGACTGTCGGAACTAGCGAATCGAACACTTCGACATGTTTTACGGGTACCAGACGAACACACGTCAGAGTAGGCACGGAACACTATTCACAAACATCCAAATTTTAATTTGAAAAAGTCAGGTTCTTTGAAGAGGATTACTTGATGAAGAACAGAGACTGAAGAGCACTGCGAGACGCATAAACAAAGTACGCTCCAAAGTAATGCATAGACAGATTGGCTAAAACGGAAATTCCTACCCACCGAGTGAATTGTTCAATGTTAAACGGGTCATACAACCGTCGTATTTAACTCGAAAATGTTATAGATGAAAGCTGTAAGGAACCGCCGTGGAAACGTTCCATGCACGTTCACAGTAATATGGGTTGGCTTGCGCAAACACGTCACAGAACATCACTGTTACATCGGACCAACTAGAGAGGAAACTGAGACTGTGCATAAAGATACGCAAAACTACTGAAAGTTTTCTGGACAACAAAGAGGCCATGATACCTAATGCAATATCGAGAAACTTCGTGGAAGCAGTCGTTACAACAGAAAAACAGAACGCTAGCTGAGAAGTCAATTTAATCGCATGAGTAGGACAGTGACACTTAAAAGCACGGAGTAGAATAAATTGTGATGACAAAACAAGAGACAATGTACACGAGAGAATAAGTGAAGATCAAGTAAAGGCAAGATAAAAACTGGAAGTGCCACAACAGCTACCAGATGAAGCACAAAAAGGGATGCAACCAAAATTTGTCAAAAAAGAGCAAACATACTGAAGCACGGTGGAATTGAGAAGGAAGGAAATAACCATGTATACCGAGTGCTCCAAAATAACGGATATCCACGAAAGATTATCAGGAGGCCTGATGCAAAGGACACCTCGACAACAGTAGAAACAAGAAGATAAACGAGTACTGCTTCCGTAAATCAATAACGTCTTTGAAGTAAAGGCGTGATTACTGCAATCATACAGAATCACGGGGGCGCAGAAACTAAAGCCTACTCCTAGCGATTTGGTCTTAAGATAGAAGGACGAAGTAAAACCAGACAGCCAGAAAAATCATCTACCAGATAAGTTGCAACGACTGTGATGACGACCGCATCGAGCAAGGAGAAACAAAAGTTCCTACAAGGATAAATGAGCACAAGGAAGTCACCCAAAGGCATAATCCATATTCTTTTCTATACAAGAAAAACAAGTAGGCCACAATTTTGACCTGGAAAATCTAAGGATTGTGCCACGTGGAAGTATGAAAAAACGATGGAATTCTAAGAAGCATGGCATCTCACAACCCATTTTATCGGTGCACATAATGAATTTGTCGCCATGTACACGGTATTACGAATGATCCTAATGGAAGAGCACATTAGACAACCAGCCAAAAATTTCAGCCATGGAGGTCTGCATTCGCCCAGTGCTAGAGTACTGCTCGATTCATTGTACAAGCGACTCGAAACGTGACCGCGTGCATCTAGAAAACGTGCAGTGCTCATTCAAAAAGACCTTCTTCAACACCTCGGCCGGACTTAACTACAAATGGAGCCACTGTGGATAAGACACATGAAGCTAGGATTAACTTTACTATCTGACTTGGTAATTAAGCGGGTATTTGCACCAAAGATCATTATTCATTCCAACAAGAAGGTAGATAAGCAATTATATATATATATATATATATATATATATATATATTTGTATAATAGCGTATCTGCCATCATGTTGGAAGTGAATAATGATACATGTATGTATGCCCTTGATTCCGCAAATACAGCGTGCTTGTGTTTGCCTGTGAAAGAGTGTGGGTCGGCTCCGTGGATGAAACGTG